CCGCGTTTTCTAATTAATTTAGCTGCGAATATCGCGATACATATGTAAATGCAGGTGCCTAAATAGTTGGGATTACATGAACGGTTTAATTCTCACGAATTCGTCCGTGAAACCGATTTTATGTAACATATGTTTACGAGATGTGTGACCAGGGCATACAACATTATTAGACAAGTCACACGGCACCATGTTACGTAATATTATGTATGAGTTACATTGCGAATGCCACCGTACGGAATGTGTCTTGGCATTCCGTGCGCGATGAAAGGAAATCAAATCAAAGCTGCGGCGGGATTAACTGGAAACCAGAAGTTTCGATCGGCGCGTTAAATGCAGGGCCTGTTGGATAGAAATGAGCCGTTTTTCATTAAATATAAATAACAATTAGTCGAAATACTCGCGATGGAAGTAAGCAACTAGGACTTTGGGACAGGAGGCTAGCGAAATGGCGCACGCATTCTTATAAATAAATTGCACATCTTTCTTATTGCTTTCTTTTTCGTCGCGAGCGAACGGCGAGTTATGCCGCTCCCCGTTAATTCTACACAATCTAATCTGATACGCTCGTCTTACAACCGCTACTACATCAATTATTTCCCAACGTTTCTCTCGCAGCAGCTATGGGAACTAAGATACAGGAAGAAATGCTTGGTATCCCTCTGATATCGGCTTATGAATTGAAACATATGGCTGACATGTGAGTCCCCTTACAATATTCACTCTTCCTTTTCTTATGAATCGGCGAATTAAAGAAGTGCGTGAGATTTATACGTAAGACGCGCTTCTCTTATTACATAAAATATTGAATATTATCGAAATAGAATTTCGAGGATCAGTTTCATGGGAACGAAGATCCGAAGGTGTATATAATTACGATCGCGTGTTTGCGATTAAAGTATAATATCGTGCATACAAACCATTTAACCATAATTATATTACTCAACACAGATTAATATAAAAAAAATTTGTCTCCCGTTCGAGACTAAAAATGGATCACAGCTGGCTATTACGTAACTGATTAATTACGTAGCATAATTAAATCGTGTGTCGTTATATCGCAGAAAGAGGTGGGCAATACTTGTAGAGTATATCAATCTGTTTATTTCGCAACGTGACTTAGACGGTGAAGCTTGAGATGTCGATGTTCCTCGATGATGAATTTTACGATGAATCGAACCACGATCAGTTGCATACGCATTCGTAATCCCGCAGTCGCGTTATTACGGAGAACGGCTCGTTCTGTGGTGTCCCGCATTCTCATTAATTCCGCGCGATCTAAGTCTTTCCGATCGTAGTCTCTTTACGATCGACAAGCATGTCGACTGACCGACCCTGATCGAGCGCCGCGTCGAGAACAGAGTATTCTGATTCGCGTGCAAGGATCGACTTTCGCTCCGTACATCGTCGCACGCGCTCTGCGCAATCTTGGATCTTGATGTTACCTATGCGCGATCCCGCTTCTACGAGAGAATCGTGTTTTCTATAACACCCAGGTGCAGGTGAATAGAACTCGTGCGTGTGTCTGTGTGGAGGTCGTAGACACGCGAATTAATCTAGTTCAGACCGGAGCGAACTGATTCTTCTTCCCTCTTTCCTTCACTCTCGATCTCGCAGTTGAAGCATGCTCCAATTATTATTATTAATAGTTCTAATATGCGCTAATAATAGTATCATTGATTTCTAGACAATATCATTTTAATCCACGTGCGATAATATAACGTATTTTGAATATTGTCTATATAAGGCATTGCGATGCCTTTTAGTCAAACATATACATAATTTTTATTTAGAAGTGTTGAAAATATTATTTTTGATAATAGCACAATTACTTCGACCGAATTTCTACCATTAAGTTTAAAAAATGAAAGTTATAAGTAGATAAGTTTATAATTGAAAATGATGCTTTTATTTTACAAAATTTATTTAAAAGAAATATTTTTGTTAAGTTATATATATTCATAATAGTCTACTTAAAAATTGTAATATATGTATATTTTAGATATTTTGAATTTTTATTTTTTAATTTCCGAATCTTGTGCTTCCGAGTAATAAAAATAAAATTATATATAACAATTAATTATATATAACAATAGCAATTTTAAAAGTAATTATAATTATAAGAGTTTCTTTAATTTTCGATATTTTCATGTTAAATACGATCAACTAACAACGAAATGGTTTCCTTCTTTCTATCGGATAATATGACGATTTTACGCGCAGTCCAACTATTTCATTCGCATTGTATAACACATTCACGAAATTCTGCAGAGTCAGCCAATACCTTCAGATCGTACCGCGAACACTTTCACGTGCGATTCCTCATTGAAGCTTTCTCTCGCACGTTCCCTGTCGGATAAGAGGAAACAAAACATACTTATCCGCTTGTTGATCGATAAGAATCTAAGTGGACCGCTCGTCTTAAGTAAATCTCCAAAACCACGTGTTGCGAACTGAGAATGATCGGCGATTATGAGATGCCTAAACGGAGAACGAGCGCGAGCCAGATAGGGCAAACGAGATATTTGGTCCACATGCTCTTGCGTATTCTGACCTGGTTTTTATCCAACCTGAATAGTCGAGCTCCGATTGACTAAACGGAATCGTACGAGCTATAAATCTTGGTTCAACGTAACGTGTACGTCTTCTATGATTGTACTTAAACGTTGCCGATAACTAAAGCTGTCGCGGACCAAACTTATACAAAACCATTGATTATCATAAATAGACAGCTGTAAATAAAATGATTTAACGATTGAAACAGATATTTACAAACCAGTAAGTCCTGTTGCGAATAACTTAAATCTATTAGGAGACTGCTTTTATTCTAAAATTTGTGATTATTACGATTATTTCGAAGATCAGACAGACAAGAAAAGCAAATTGTAATAAGAACTAACAACGTAATAATAATTACCGTATCATTACGTAATAATTACTGTATCATTCTTCATCTTTTTATGATATTCCTAATTTATATGTATAATATTATCCCCATAACTTTATGTGGGTAATAACACATACCCACATAATTTATCTATGCAAAATTTACAATTATTACTGAAAAAACCGTGAGAAAAGATTTCTCCTATCATCACGATTTATTGACCAAAAACTACTTTCTTATTCCTGTTTATTTCAAGGAGTGCTCTCACAAATTAGAGTTTAATTAAATATGTGAGACATGAAACAAACAATAAGATTGCTATATTGATTATGAAAAACGATAAGCCGTGATTGATTTAGAAACCTGTCGTCAAGCACATACAGGCTGCGGTAACTATTACTAATATATGCCACAATTGTATCCTTTGACATTATCTTATTCTTCTGAACAATATCCTGCTCCACATCAGGAGAACATTACCGTCGTTTATTGTATCTCAGTATTCGTATTCTTTCACATGCCGACCGTCGTGATTCACACCAGTCGAGACAGGTCTGCATCCTACATTATTATATCCTGGTACGCTTGTTGCTCCACATGTTAGGAGCTCGTTTCTAAGAGTGACTCACACTTTGAACTGATTAATTGCAAAGCTTAGGACATTTTGGCGTCTGTAATAATTCTTAAATCGCTCACGTTAAACTGCATTTTAAATTTAATAATTTTATTTAAAAAAGACAATTTATATAGACGCATTATTTATATACATAAGCATTTCTTTTTCAAAATAATTTTTAATGTATTAATTATATAATTTTTAATATATAATAATAATTTAATAATATATAATTATTTATTAAAAAGTTATAAGAAATTATCAGAAATTATAATTATTATATCTTTATAGATTACTCATCGATTCATTTAATTAATATAGTATTGATATATAGAACAAACTAATCTTAAAAACCTAAATTAGAATAAAATTATATTCCATTAAATAAAATACTTTGAACGGAAAAAAACTGATTTAACTGTTAATGAAGAGAAATTTTCGAGTTGCATCTTCGGTACGAAAATGAGAAAATGCGCGTTCTCATTAATCACAGGCATCACAGCTAACATTAACAGGGCTTGGCAGGTCTTTATGATTTGTCTTTACGGCTTGCCTTTAGTGTGTTAAATCCCATTTGTTATAATTCGCCAACAGTTCATTGTATGTGCACGCAGAAAGTGAGAGGACGTAAGCTTCTCGTAATAGGGTGCCCGACATTACTTTCACAACGAGAGCAAGGTCTTATTTTCTACATTGATGGGTTTTGCTCTTCCCTTTCTGTTGGCACGCATTCATTTCAGAGTTCGGTATGAGAATGTTAAATAACTTTTAATTTATAAATAATTTTATGTAAATCCACATGTGTGCAAATTAAGTCTACAAAAGAGAATAATTGCTCACATATATAATTTATGTGATAAGATTTATTAAGAAATATTATGATAATTTTCCATTGAAAATCTAAGAACGATGTGATTTTTAAATAAATTCATATTGAAATGAATATTACGACATATTAAAAAATATTTATGATACTTGCGAAGAATTTATTGTGTTTGTAGAAATCGAAGTGCAAGAATTAAAAAATAGAAAAACTAAAAGAGATGAAAATATTGCTTGTTATTTTATTTAGTGTAATTAAATTTTTTTACATAATTGTTTATTTTATGTTGCTGTTAATTAAAACTTTTGACAATAAGCTTGTATAAGTATTATAATATAAATATTTTAAAAGATATAATATATATATTTTCATTAAATTTGATCGAGAAAATAAATGTTATCTAGAAATATTAGAAATGATAATGCTGGCAAAATCAGCATCGTTTTTATCAACGTTCTATAACAGCGATTCTAGGCAGAGAAGAAATCTTTCTCGTAATGTAACATTTACAGATTCGAATATATTATGACATCTATTGTATGAAGCATAAACCGACTTATAAAATTTATCGAATTCTTATATTATTTATTTAAAGTTATTAGTCGCAATATTTGTTAATTTTTAATTAACAAGCTGACTTTATCACAATCAGATAATATACATATAATTGCAATTTTTTATTTTATCCAGATTGTAGACATTTTTAATATAATATGATAAATTGAATATATACCATCAGATTGTGTAAAACAATTTAGCATCATATCTTTTCTGTGAGAAAAGTGAACTTTTTCAACTTCGAATTTGTTACATTTATTTGCATATTTATCGTTAACAATCTTGTATTAATATTTGTTATTAATATTATTACTATATTCACGTTATCGAATTTTTTTATTATATTCCTATTGTCAAATTTTTTTAGTCTGCGGTGTGATAGATAGTTTGTTTTTCACGGTCTAAAATTTTCATTTAATCTCCATCCGGACTGACATCTTCGAATCTGCCTCTATTCGCTTGGACTTTGTCCGGATGATTAAATAGTAGTTATACACATTTTATGTTATAGATAGTAGCTGTTGTTGGTATAAGTAGTGCTGCATTCTGCATTAGATTTGAGCTGGAATAGCATCTATTTTGTTGGTGACTAAGCTAGTGTTGTAGATGTTGTACCTGATTAAGGATTAGCAATAATCAATTAATTATTAATTAATCATTAATTAATCACTTTGTGCGGGCGGAGATGCTAGGTTTATATACCTTATACAGATTGAGACGCTGAACCCATACCTTTTCAAGGAACTACTGTAGTAGGTGGAGTAGTAGGTGGAGTAGTAGAGGTAGGAGTAGTAGGTGGAGTAGTAGTTGTAATAGTTGTAGTAGATATAGTAGACGTTGAGCTCGAACTTCCTTCAGGCGGAGACGTTGGGCCCGCACTTCCTCCGGACGGAGACGCTGGATTAGATGTAGTAATAGTTGTATTCGTTGGTGCAGATGGTGTTGTGATTATCATTGTTGTACCTAGGGATAATCAATGAATTAATCAAAGCTTTTTTCTCAAAAAAATTATTTTTTATATTAATATTATATACCTATATTTAAGTTCTATTCTATTAGTAATTATTTTACATAAATTCGCTATTTTGATTGCTCTGTATTTTATTAAGCGAATGATTTATCAACACATGTTAAGTATTTAATTTTATATACGAATAAATGACAAAATTTTAGATTATATATTATGAATAAATTGTTATTCTTACCATTGTATTAACAATGAATTATAAATGAAAAAATTTAAATTTAATTATGTATGTATGGCCATACACATATACAAAATTTATAATTACTTCCGTTCTCACGCAGACAATGAAATATAGCGCATAGCGCAAAAATTATTACACGGAAAGAACAATTTTGCTGAATCTAGATCTGAAAAGAATTTTTGTTCAATAGTCAAGACAATTTTGTTGGAAAGTTATAATGATTGCTAGAATATAAAAATGTTTTACAGTAATGCTTATAACTTTAAACTTTTCAAATTATTTTGATAATTGAACAAGTAATTATTTTCAGATCTGTATTTAGCAAAATTTTTAGACCTTTTAACAGAATCGTTCTTTCCGTGTAGATATAATTATTAGATATATAATAATATGTGTAGAGTTAAAATGTTGAGGAATTGAATTAACTTATCTTAGATTAATAATTATTTTTTTATTATTTTCTAAATTGTAATCCCATCTATAATATACACAAAAAAATTAATCAATGATTGCGTAAATTAATATAAAGCTAATAAATTGTGGACAACTATAATGGAAATTATATAATATATAAGAAGTGTTGTTCGATTATCTCTAATATTTGCATAAAATAAGCAATTATAGTTAACAGATATATTTTAGAATTGATTTTTTAACTGATTATTTTTAATATTCTTCATTCATTATACCTGAACCTATAATTATTAAAATGATATCAATGTTATCTCACTTTTCATTGTTGTATTGTGCGGTAAATACAATTCAGGACATTTAGCAGCACACAAGAGATTTATGATATATGGCATGGTATCTGCAGATGTGCAAAACGATTGACAAAATTGTTGACGTAGCCCATCTAGAAACGAAAAGCCAAACCTTCCAGTTCGTGAAGTATCGGTCATGCGTGAAATATAATGGTGTAATCCGTCATGAGGCACAACGTTCTAAATAACATACATGTTGTTCATTAATAATATTCTCTCTCTCTCTCTCTCTCCTCTCATTTTTAATGTTCAAATACACCAATCTTCACGAAAATAATATCCTTATAATATATAATTTGTTATATAGACATTTTTTTCCTTATAAATTAAATTCTATTATTAAAATACATTAATTATAAATTAAAATTTATTAATTTTATACATTAAATTATATACAAAGTTTTTTTATTATAAATTTATGTTTAGAAAATCTAAACTAATTATTCGCTTGAACTGATATATTTAATTTATTGGAAGATACATAAATATGTATCTAATTTACTATAAACATTTACTATAAAAACTCTAATTTACTATAAAAATTTACTATAAACAAGATATATTCCTTATATTTCATTATATTAACGATGGAATATAATAGTCTAATTTGTGTGTCATAAACTAAAATACGGAAATAATGCACATCATGAATAATTATAGAAATTACGTTGATCTAATTTTTATTATTCTAATTTTCTAGCATATATATAGTAGTATTATAGTACATGATAAAAAAACATTGTACTAAAATAAATTATTCTTGGAAACGTTATTTAACAAAAATATGTCTACAATTTGTTTTTACATATTTTTATAATACCTACCGATTTTAAAAATATTACAAATTTACGTTACCTCTGCCAAGATTGTGCCATACACAATAAAGAATCCAATCCATATATAACTTGGATATAACATTGTGTACTTTGCTATTTTCTATGCCTTATATTATAACTGTGAAAGTTTTACTTTAATTATTATAGATATTACTTTGTCACACTCTCTGCAACCATAATAGTCTGAAGTAAATTTTCTGCTCATTTATATAGATGAGAATTGTATATTCTTAAAAATACGAACGTGACGAAGTCGTATACCAACACATTATTCACCTTGTGGGATTTTTTTTCACAGATTGCATATTTTGTTCCTTATCTTATGTATTTAGATATTCTAAAGACAATACAGTGCATGACATGCTTTATCATGACAGATGTCCCATTTTTAAATTTCTTAAATTTTCTTTTTAATGCCATAAAATTAAATAAAGAAAGAATTGATGAAAAACAGAATAGAGCTAAATTTTTAATAATAATTTTTTGATAATTATATTGTAATGTTGGAATGTTGATAAAAAATTGAAATAAAAGTAGATGTATGTAGTAAAAATACAGAAAAAATTGGTAGAAGTATATGTATGTATCAATTTCCAAAATAAAGTTAATTTTTTTAAAATATTTATTAAATTTTTCAAACAAGAGAGATGGTAGAGATATCATAAATGTGTGATGTGGGTGTAATGAAATTTTTTATGAAGTGATTTGTTTTGTCATACAATTATAGATTTACATTATTTATAATTTAGACTCTTTTAATATTCTTTATATTTATGAACAATATGTTTAATATACAGTTAATTTTCATAATATTTGAATTTTATTTAATTTTAAGAATTTAAAAGGGTTATAATTATTTTAAACAAATATTTGTTATATTTTATCTAACGATGTTTTACTTTGTTTTATTTTGTTGTAAATTTACTGACATGCATATAACATAATAATACATGTGCATATGCTTATTTCCATCATACTTAATCACACAATATTTCTTATGTTTTATGAGATTATTTTTCAATCGGTAGGTATATTATAAAAACATGCAAAAACAATTAAGTATTAGAAAGATTAAGAAATATTACAAACAATTAATATGAGATAACGTCAACACTGTCAAAGCGGATCTTGGCGTTTAAATTGTAAGATTCACATTTTAAAATATTATTGAGCACCAAGATTCGCTTTGACCGTTGATCTCATATTAATTGCATGTAAAAACAAATTTTGAACATGTTTTTGTTAAATAACGTTTTCAAGAATAATTTATTTTACTACAATGTTTTTATCATGCACTATAACATTTTTTGTATTAGAAAATTAGAATAATAAAATTTAGATTTCCGTAATTTCCGTAATTATTCATGTGCATGATTTCATGCATGTGTATTTTTCATGATGTGCATGTGTATTTTAGTTTTATTTTAAAGTAATAATTAGATCATTGCATACCAAAAAAATATTTTGCGTATATGTACAGTATTATGAGTAATTATTATTGTAAATAATGAAACGTTAGTAAGTTTTCGCAACTTTTATCTCGACATAAGAAGTGATTCGCACGTGACTTGAATGCAGATAAGGATATCGCTATAAAAATTAAGAAGGTCAAAACTATTTTTACCTATTATCCTTACTGTTCCAACACGTCGCTGAATAGTCGGATTAGCACAAGAAAGGTATAACTTTGTGTTGTATTTATCTTTATAACCCTGTTATATGCAACCCGTTCTTCATGGTCGTAAAGCGATTTTTTTTCCCCGCTTATTATGACAACAAATATGAAATTTATATGAATTGAAGCGTAATCCATAATTACGTATTTCTTATTTAAATGTTTATAATTAAAAAAAACTTTTATTTTAAAAAAGCAATAAATATATAACGATAAAATTATGATAAATGATGTCTAATACTTGTAGAAGTAGTATTATTCTTATTTAAAATTTAATTACTGTAAAATAATAACTAATATATACATATTTATGTAATAAATATATTTTATAATTGTATTAAATACATAACAAAGTAAAATTTGGTAATATATATTTAAATATTACAATTAATAGTGAATGGAAATATATTTTTGATATTTTTTATATTGAAGATAAGCGAAGGAAAGATAAAAATTCAGAAAAATTGCATATGTTATATAAAAATAATTATTGCAAAGCAGTTAAAAATGTTTCTAAAATAAATTGCAATAATCAAAAAGAGAAAATGAGGTAAAATGATAAAGTTTTTCATTCAAAATTCGCTTTATTATCAGTTTTTATTTTATTAGGTTATTTTGTTATCGACGCAGTTAAATAAGCGCGTAATTCAATGTCCTAATTAGGAACTCTTTGCAGAATTAAGAGAACATCTAATTTTTCGATGAAAGAAAAACTCTTTCTTTTCGCAATTTTTCCTGAAAGCAAATACATTCTCTTAGTTCAGAATATATTCGGACGTTGCTATGACCTTTCGCAGAGCACGAAACTACGTCACGGTGTAGGATGTAGGAAGGTGCTGCCTGGTAGCAAGGTGATAGCCACGACGTGATCACGTTAGCAATGACGCCAGAGAGAGCCCAGCGGGTCGATAACAATGAGACCGACAACGACAGCCCAAGAACATTTCTGGCGCCCTAGTCTCTCCTCCCAGAGCTGCCGGTCCTTTTTGTTGTCCGCTCGTTTTTGCTCGCGCTTTTACTTTTCGTGTAAATCTTTTTCGACCACCCGTCTTCTCTCTCTCTCCCTCTCCTGGCCGCTCCTCCATTTCAATTAGTTAATGCCTGCGAATAAAAAGAGTGCCCCGCGATACGACGCATTCTCGGATCATTGCGGGGAAGAAATCAATCCGCTGGAAAGCGTCTCGGTGTAAGCATCGCGAATTTATCTCGCTAATTCGATACACCATAAAAAACGTAATTCAAACACATTAATCCTGGCGCCGATAACGCAGAGGTGTAACATTCACAGACGGTTCCTTTTACCATCGGCTAATCGTTCGATACTAGTTTCCATTTTATTTCCAATGGGCGCAGCACCTTCAAGTAATTTCGAATTATTCCAATATTTTCAATATTTAAACTGATTTTTCATTCATTCATTATTCCGATATCTATTGTATTAATTGGATGAGTTTAATTCCAAAATCATTTATAATTTTTTCAATGAAAAAGGAATTATTTCGATATCAGATAGTTTTTCCATTCTCTGTATTTTTCGGTGATAATTATTGGATTTATTTTGAAAGAATGTAATATATATTCTTATGTTACACATGGCGACAATAGGGTTCAATCACAATGTCACTAATTGTAATTTATTTTTGAGTGAAAAAGAAATTATTCCAAATTTCTTTTGATATACGTATGTACAAGGTGCGGAATGATGAAACTCATCAGAATTTAAATTAGGGCTACTTCCAATACTACAGTTTTAATACATTTAATACAGCAAATTGAAATTGCAAGATTTCGATTAGGTGATTCTCGCTTAAAAGAATTTGACGCGTTTCACGCGAATCTGACAGCGAAAGTATCGATACCGTTATGTACCACGGAATCCCACTTGTTTCGCGTCAGCCTCGGTGCTTGAACTGTCCTCGGAAAAAAAAGATCAGGAAGCCGTCTTGCCGTTGCGGAGATTTGCGCGATCGCCCGGCTAAACGTACTTAATGCGATCGTCGACCGGGCGCCTCTAGCAGCGCGGAATTATTCGTGAAAGTAATTGGGGTCTCTCGTTACGAAACTCGTCTCTCAAGAAAGTAATTCAACGATGGTGTAAGATACTTTCGTAATTCTCGGCTGCATCCCTAATTGGGCCTGCATATGCCAATCGATTCCCTCGTTCAGTCAGGCATCTCGCTCGCGCTAACAAATCGTGGGAGCGAATAACGCGCAGATGGCCGTCGCTCGATGACGTCTAAGATGAATCTTTCGTCGTTCATGCGATCGATACGCCCGGAAGTGCAACCTGCAAAGTCGCGAATCCGAACATCTGCACGTCCTACGGGTCTTGAATATGCTTTTCGATCTTCAGAATTCGATCGCGAAACCGGATTAAGCCGCGGAATCTATTAGCGACAGTCGATAATACGTTGTGAAATATAATTTTATTATATTGATTCTTTTAAAATATAAAGATTTAACACAAATTAATCAACGTCTCTATCATATTTTATAAAACAAAAAATGTTATAAATGTGCTAATAAGATATCGTTCCTTTTTTAAAAATTTAATTTTACATTGTATTTATTTTAAAGAGAGAAATTATATTATTAAATTATTTATATTGATTAGAAAGATTATACTGTATTTATAATATAATTATATCTCGCAACTCCGTCGATAATCTCGACAAATGAATTCGGCTCCAAAGTGAAATTTATAAAAATATATGGAAATAAATGTTGAGACACATCGTTAGAATTTAAAAAAGTAAAATAGCTATTATTTGATAACGTATATAATTAAGTCAGTGAAGTCATTATTAATTAATAAATATCGAATAATGATATCCGAACATGATTATCCAAATTCTAACGGAGAGCACAAACGAATCAGTCAAAGAGTGAGAGAAGGAGAATGAGATTCGCGTATGCGCACTTGGTTGAAAGTTGATATCGTTATTCGAACGTGCGAAAATATGGTTATATTGATGGAATTGAAGACAATTTGATCGCGATTGAAGAAGCTTCTACGTAAGAATTTAATCTGCTCGCTTTTGAAATAGACCCCGAGAATAAAGTAAATATCATGATGCCAAAACAGCACTATTACGTCATTCACTTTGAACTTGCGTTACGAATTAACACGTACGGACGAGTAAATAGACTTGTCTTGATTATTCGCACTGACGGATTCATGTGTCGATCGCGAGACTTAATAAAAAGATTGTGTAGGCCGTCAATGTGATTGAAGGCATCGCCGATGGAAGATTGCGGAGGTGTGCAGTTCCATGCGGAGGATTCCGCCGACACTCGGCTCCTTGACGTTCCTCCAGGGAGTTTCGGTCTCGAGACGGAGGGCGATAGTGGCGTAGGGTGCATATCGAAGGGAAGATGAGAATGGGCGAAGGGAAGGAAGCGCTAGGAAGGGTAGTAGGCGAATAGATGAAGAGACTGGATGTAGAGGCGAAGAGGAGAAAGAGAGGAGGGGGGGAGAGAAAGTGAGAGGGAGACAGAGAGAGAAAGAGAGTGGGAGAGATGAGGGCGCATTCCCGGTCAGGAGCGTGGAAAAGGGCGATCGGGGAGGTTACGGGGTGGTGGCGTGGGTGCGCGG